TTGGTCTTCTTCATATTTTGAACCTCATACAAGCAATGGAATACTGAGGAAGTTACTCAACCTTTCTTTGCCTCAGTTTATCTACCTCTATAGTGGAGATGACAATATCAATTTCATAAGGCTGCTATGAAAATTTAAGTGTGATCATATGTGTAACATGCTTAAAAGAATGCCTGGAACATTAGCTGGCAAGTACTTGGTAAATATTAGGCACTAATATAGGATGTCCTAAAAAATGTATACACATGTTGAATAATTATACAGGCAGTGTTTATTAAAATACATTTCATTTTCAAAATGTAATAGAATCTATAGACATAGTGTGCATACATTTTTTTGGCGGGGGGGGAGACACCCTGTAGTTTCCTATATTAATTGCTCAAGGTCACATGGCTGGTATATGTCCACAAGCCCGTATTATTATTATCTTCCTTTTACAGAAGAGTAAACTCAAGCAGTTTAAATTCACTTTCTAAGGACAAATTGTAAGAAATGATAGACTATAAGATATTCCCATCATGCTGGTCTTGCACACAGTAGGTACCTAATCCCAAAATACAAATATGAGATAAAATATATGGATTTTACACAATTTCAAGAAGGACAAAACCCAACTTTTTATTTCCCATGTTTCTTATTTTGAAGTTCTAGATGCCACCCAGAAAATACAGCAAAGGCATATTTCCTGAGCAGCCCCATGGAGACATTTCCAACAGTGGGGCCATTCATCCATAGCCGAGGTTGATCAGAGCCTTCAAGTCGATGCATGAACAACATTGGATTTGGGCCCTTTCCTTCCCTTCAACTTTATAAGCCATAATACAGTACCTGTCCCTATTCCGTGGGTCTCTCCAGCGCCACTTGTTCAACCAAACGTGATTGCGTTCAAGTGTTATAAGCATTACTTGTGATTTTTTGAAGTACATCCTTATATCAATAATGAAAGGAAACAGGCGTCATTTTGAATAAAAACTTCAATAAAGAAGCTGCAGTTCAGAGAGAAGGTACTATGGCTGAGACCCTGGCCTCCCCTTTTAATTTTCCAAAAGCGAGAGGTTGAGCAAAGGCTGTGAAGTAACTCCAAATTATTTAGGAAACTCATTTCTTTGTAATTAAGGAGATTAAAGTCCTCTAGGGCCAGAAACCATGTGACAACTCAAATCATTTTTCCCAGCAAAAGCTGTGAAACCCTATCAGTGAAACTCAGGCTGGCCGAGAATTTAAAATGCTTCAATAATGTTTCTTTGCCCCACACAATCTGTGGTAATTTAATATTCCTGAAGTGTGTCAGGTTTTTATAATGAGCTCTTCAACTCTAAATGTGAATTATGTAATATTCCACTACAGACATTTCGTCTAGTGAACTGCTGCGAAATGTAAAACCCCATGTTCAGTGATTGGGGGTGGGGACAACACCAAACCACAAGCAGAGAAAACAGATAAGACTTTAAAAAAAAAAATGACAACAAAGCACAAAGGTTTGAGCAGCTACAACAGAACCAACAAATACTAAAACACCTACTGTAACACAAATCTGTGCACCACCCCACTCCTCATATGATTCTACAGTAAGATAGCTAATATTTATGAGGGCCCACTATTTACCATGTATTATACTATCAATTTCTCATCTATTACCTTATTCAATCCCCCAATCACTTGAAAGTTAGATGTTTTCTTCATTTGACAGATAAGGAAAGTGAGGCCAGTGTAGTAGCTTATCCATGGCCATATGACTAATAAGTATCACAGGGCAGGGTACAAGTCACTCTTGTCCCCAACTTCAGTTAGCTGGTGAACAGATAAAAAATGTGGTGTATTCATACAATGGAACATTATTCAGCCACAACATGGCTTAATAATACTTTCTACAGCATGGATAAACCTGGAATAAGCATGCCAAGAGAAAGAAGTTAGACACAAAAGATCACACGTTTTATGATTACATTTATGTGAAATATCCAAAATTGGTAAATCCAGTGATAGAAAGCAGGTCAGTGGTTGCCAGGTTCTGAGGGAATTGAGGGAAGGGCCAGTCATTGATTGCTGGTTACAGTGCCTCCTTTGGGGGTGATGGTTGCAAAAAATACCACTGAATTATACACATTAAAATGGTTAATTTTATGTTATGTGAATTTCACCTAAACTTAACAAAACAAAGAAAACCCTTCCCAGCCAGGTCCTACACCCTGATTTAAGCCTTCTGTGATATGCTAAGAATAGTACAAATTCCAGTCTAAAGGGACAACCCAGCTTTACAAACCAATCTTCCCAAACCATGACTTTGCGTTTGAGTGGCTGCGATTGCATAGCTTATAAGGTGCATTATCACTACCTCCCTGTTTTGTGATTTGGGGCATCTTAACCAGCTTCACCCAACCTACAAAGCATCAAAAACAGACCATTTATCAACATGGCACAAAGGTTGCAACAGTGCATATGAGGAGCCTCAGTTTTCTCATCAGTGAAATGGGAAGATAACCACCAAGTATGCAAGACTTGGAATGTTGATGAGATTTTGGCACTTCCAAAGCCTACCTCCATCTACAGCAGGTTTCCCTTTGTGTGGGGCAGGAGGAGACATAAATCTACTTATCTTT